CAGAAAAAAAAAAAAAAAAAAAAAGTTGTCCATGTAGTTAATTAGCTCAGACGAGGTTAGCTAATTGAGTAGTTTTTCAACAAAATATAGTGGATTTGCTTAGATTGATTGAGTGCAAGATGAGAATTAGAAGTTTCATTGAGAGATCCATCAACAACTTTTAGGAGATTTTTATAAACACTACTTTTTGAAACATTTTAATTGGGCTTTCTATGAAACCTATATACGGGCTAGAAAGTAGATCTAAAGTATTTATTAGATTGGATTAGACCTGCTCTATTCTTAATGGATTTATATAATATATATATATATATATATATTTGATTAGGCCAGATTAAATCAATATCCAATCTATCGATATATAGAAGATAAACATACATGGATTAATAGATCAGGTTTGAGTTGGAATCAATCTAAATTAAAACCAATTTGAACAGATTTGACGATCCAAGTATTAGTCCAAAATATTCATTGAATTGAATTGGACCTAGTTCATCCATAATACATTCATATTGGGCCATTGGACCAAATCCGATCCAATTGACACCCCTCGCCCAGGCAACTAACTTTAATTCTTTTTAATTCCTTATATATAATCCTCAGGTACAAACAATTATTATGTAGGAGGAAGATAAGCTCTCCATTTCTTTCCCAGTTCAGTTGATCTGGTGGGTCCACACCTATGATAATTTTGATGGAATTATCATTATAACCATCCAAATTCCAATATCCAGACTCTTTCTGCAACCGTCCAATTAAGAATGGAATATAAATTGGAAAATTAATTAATACTCAAAATATCACTTTTTGGGGTAAGTCTTAATGGACAAGTCCTTCACATAATTTGACCAGATGGACGTAATTACCCAGGATATTTTATCTTCTATATCTTCTCTGATCTATGCATGAAAAGAGCCGTTGAGCCTTGGGAACTTGAATGTGAAAGATGCAGAAAATGTTGAAAGAAAAGAATGGAATATGATAATGGCGGGTTCCAAAGATTATTTGTGTGTGGCTAATGGCTTGCTGTGGTTCAACAGTCCACCAGAGAATCGAAATAAAGTTCCTGACGATCACCATGAAGTTTGAAATTTATGGATGTGGGGAGTTTTCTCTTTATCAAAGTTCCTTTGGAAAAACAATAGGTGGGATATTGATAGCACGACGTTGAGAATTCCACATTTGCGAAAGGAAACGAAACATCCGTTTTTTCTTCTGAAAAGTTCACAAATTGGTGGAAAGTTCTTTGATTGTTGAAGTCAACTAATATACATCTGCCAAATATTGAGACCGAAAACAGCATTACAATAGTTATTGATGAGGGGTGATTTGTCCCGACCTAGCGGATACGACCTGATGATTGGACATGAGTCAGTACTTCCAGCCACTTTAGTAGGACAGGTCACTTCGGGTATCTCGGTCACCTTGGCCAAGACCGAGGTCCGAACAGCTTGAGGTGCCCCAAATTACCTAGGTGACACGTAGTCAACATCTAGTAGCTAGCCAATTGATTCCGAGCTTTATGGGATCACGTCGCACGCCTTTAGGTCTTATCCTCATCCTGCCTAGATTGGACGGACTCGATAAGCTTTATCGATTAGCACGATATCTATTTCTCGAGGCGGAACGGACTCCTAACGGCGCGTGCCAAGGATCTCGGAGGTGTTTCGTGAGATCTATAGAAGATCACCTATATAAGGGTGTCTACTCCAGTTGTACAAGGTATGCGCGGTTTACTGCTTACTAGCTATTACTCTCAAAAACTTATAGCTCGTATACATTAGCTATTAATTTAAGCATCGGAATGACCACACCGGGTTAGCCACCCCGAGTTCTCTGATCTTACTTGTCTTACAGTTCTATCGGCCACCTAAGCAACTGACATCCGAGCTTCCATCTAATTAGGAGCAATCAGATTGCACACCATCAGTTATGTTTATGTTGCATGTGTGTGTGTGTGTGTGTGTGTGCACTTGTGAGGGAGATAGAATTATTCATATGGACACATTAAGGCCGCGTTTTGCAAGTCTTCCCGCGTGGGCTTCGGGCTGTTTAGAAGCCCGAAACCCTGAATTATGGGTTTTTCCTATTTGACAATGAAAAGATCTATTGGAAAAAAGCTCCAGCCCATAAAAGACGCTAGCAGCCCGTATTTGGGTTTTTTCAAGAAGCTTCAAATGAAGCTTTTACAATCTTTTAGTGCCCCGTCTTTTTCAAACGTGTGGCATGATGCACACGATTGGGAGAAAATAGGTTCTTTCCATAAAAAACTATTTGAATGTATAAGTGGGACCTACCAATGGTATGTGGGGCCCAACTTGAAAAAATGTATGTGGACCCACATACATGTCCACACATGCATGTCCACCAATAGCATGTGGGGCCCAAGTTGTAAAATGTATGTGGGCCCCACATGCATATCCACCAATGGTATGTCGGGCCCACCCTGTAAAATGTACATGGGCCCCACATGCATGTCCACACATGGACCCCACATGCATGTCCACCAATGGTATGTCGGGCCCACCTTGAAAAATGTATGTGGGCCCTACATACATATCCACACATGAACCCCACATGCATGTCCACCAATGGTATGTCGGGCCCACCTTGTAAAATGTATGTGGGCCCCACGTACATGTCCACACATGGACCCCATATACATGTCCACACATGGACCCTACATGCATGTCCACCAATGGTATGTTGGGCCCACTTTGTAAAATGTACGTGAGACCCACATACATGTCCACCAAAGAAAAGTGGGCCCACCTTGAAAAATGTAGGGATTATAGCAAATAAGGGCAACTTTTGGGACCTAATATCAATAAAAGTAATATTTTTAAAAAGTTTCAAAAATAGGTCAACTTTTTAAAAATAATATCAATTTAGGGCAAAAACATTGTTCATCTTCTTCCTCTTGCAATCTATTCATCAGCGCCTCCGTCTGCCGCCGCCTGCCTTCGACAACGCCTCCGCATATCTTCACCCACCTCCACCTCCACCTCTGGCAACATTGTCGGAGGTGGGCGGAGGCAGAGGCGGCGGTGCTGGTGGTCATTCCTCTGCCTAATGCCACCACCTCCGCCTCCGGCAACATTGCTGGAGGTGGGTGGAGGCAGAGGTGGTGGCGGCGGCACTAGTGGTCATTCCTCTGGTCAACGCTGCCACCTCTGCCTCCGCCTCCGGCAACGTTGCTGGAGGTGGGCAGAGGCATAGGTGGTGGTGGCGGCGTTGGTGGGCGGAGGTGACGGCATTAGGCAGAGGAATGACCACCAGTGCCGTCGGAGGCAGAGGCAAAGGTGGGCGGAGATAGGCGGAGACACTGCCAGAGGCAACGACGACACTGATGAATAGATTGCAAGAGGAAGAAGATGAACAGTGTTTTTGCCCTTAATTATTTTTAAAAAGTTAACCTATTTTTGAAAGTATTTCTTTTATTGATATTAGGGCCCTAAAGTTGCCCTTATTTGTTATAATCCCAAAAATGTATGTGGGCCCCACATACATATCCACACATGGACCCCACATGCATGCCCACCAATGGTATGTCAAGCCCACCATGTAAAATGTATGTGGGCCCCACATACATGTCTACCAATGGTATGTAAGCCCAAGTTGTGGGTCCCACATGTTAAGTGAAAGGTTTATTGGCCCATACACAAGGCATTCATATATACATAACACATGTTTTCATCACATTACCAAACGGTCTTCTAGCTTTTGTAGTCTTTATTGAGATATATGAAAAATATTTCAACCAAACAATCTTTGATCTTCCAAGATTGATTTGCAAAAGCTCACCCTGTCTTTTAACTATCAGATCTTGTAATAGATCTTCTCAAAAAGACTTGCCAAACAGGCACTAAGTTTTCCCTTATAATTAGAGAATGTGGATAGGCTGCAGACCAAATCAAATTGGATATAGGTAGATACAAATTTGATTTGCTTATATTCAAATTCGAATAGTATCTTATGTATCGGATGTCTCAATTTTGAATCGAATTTGGAATGCAATCGAATATGAAACAGTGTAAATAAATTAGACTAAAAATAATCAAAATGTTATGTATTATTAATAAAATGAATTATATGGAACTTAAACCTATGACAATTTAGTAAAAACATAACATATAACATTCAAAGACCAACTCTACTTATAGATACAACATAAATTTTAAATATTTAAATCAAACCGAATCGAATAGGGATGGGATCAGATTTGATCCAATTATAAATGGATCGAATTCGGATCACCCTTAATAGGATTAAATTGAAATACCACTTGCAAATTGCACCCCTAAATGAGGACCAGAATCTTTGAAAACAATCCTGGGAGAAAAAAATTTCAAATGGAAGTGTCTACTGGGCAATTTTGTTTATTCAATTTCTGTCCAGCTACTTCCAAAACTTAAGAAATAAGAAAAATTAGTGCAAAGAGTTAATGACATTTTATTGTCCGGCATTTTGTCAATTAGGTTATGTTTATAAAGGTTTTTCTACCTTTCTCTTTTTTTTCTCTACTTTTTCTATCAAACCAAACATAGCCGAGACTTGAAAAGAAACTGTAGTGGGTGAAGTAAGGCCTCCTGTTGTATCATTTCAATGAATAAATAGAAAATAATATTCATGTATATCCTCAAAAGCAAACCCTTTTCATGGGAATGCCCATCTAGATGGAGCCCTCTCATGGCAGCCACCAGTTTCCTCCTCAGTCCTCTCTGCTCTGCAAAGTGCAAACATAAGCCTAGCGACTATTTAATTTCCCTCGTTGATGTGAAGCAAAAACTTTCCAGCCCAGAAAAAGAAAGCCCACATAATAAATAACTGAATAATTTCTCTGAGTTCTGTATAAGCGAATTAGTGTACTCAGGAATCAGGATACTCGTCTTTATCTTACTGTTCTAGATTTCCAACTGGTCCCTGGGAATAATAGAACCATAGATAGAAAGAGAGAGAGAGAGACTCTCTCACCAAATTGACTAGTCTACTCTACTCTACTCTGACTACTCCTACACCATTTTTTGCCTAAATACGCTACTCTCCTAGCTAATCCACTTGTTTTGCTAAAATGCGCCCACCTCCTATGACTCTCCTCAGAATTCCTCTTCTTCTCTCCCTTTTAAATATCTTACCCAATTTCTTCTTCCCATCCTCTCGCTGGCTTGAACCCTTGAGAATATGGGAATTGTGTCATGTCCTTTTGCCTGCAATTCGTATAACGAATCACAATCTCCGTCTAATCACCTTCATTCAGATTCCATCTCTCTCTCTTCTCAGCCCAGCTTACCGTCCGTCCCTTCCCTCACCTCACAATTATCCTTCCACCATCACCACCGCCTACAACATCATCAGCAGCAGGAACTATCTTCAACTACCCACTGTCAATGCATCTCCACCCTCAAAGGCCATTCCTCTTACGTTTTCTCCCTCGTCCTCGCCGGGAAGTTCCTTTGCAGCGGCTCCTCTGACGAAGAGATCCGAGTCTGGCCACGGTACTCACCCATAGCAGCAGCTGACGCTGATGCCCAAGAACCGTCTCTGACCAACAACGTGGTTTCTGTCGGCAAGGGCGCAGTTAAGTCTCTTGTGGTCTCCGGCGATCAATTATTCAGCGCCCACCAGGACCACAAGATCCGTGTATGGAGAATTTATAACGAGGAGACCCACCAAGGCAAGTACAGGTACAGGCGGTTGGCCACGCTTCCCACCCTCAGTGACCGCGTTATGCGATTCCTCCCACCTAAGAACCATGTTCAAGTGCGGCGGCACAAAAGATGCACCTGGGTTCATCACGTCGACACCATTTCAGCACTCGCTCTATCTAGAGATGGCTCACGGCTCTACTCCGTTTCATGGGATCGGACGTTGAAAATTTGGCGAACCTCCGACTTCAAGTGTTTAGAGTCGGTAGGGAGCGCGCACGACGACGCGATCAATGCGTTGGCCTTGTCCAATGATGGGTTCGTCTTCACTGGATCGGCCGACAAGAAAATTAAGGTGTGGAGTAAGTTACCAGCCGACAAGAAGCACTCGTTGGTGGCAACACTGGAGAAACATCAGTCCGCCGTTAATGCATTAGCACTCAGTACTGACGGGTCTGTGTTGTATTCCGGTGCATGTGATCGATCAATCATAGTGTGGGAGAAAGAGAACGGCGGTGGCGCCGATGGTGGTGGCGGAGGTCAAATGGTGGTTGTGGGTGCGCTCAGGGGACACACCAAGGCAATTCTGTGCTTGGCGGTGGTGTCAGATTTGGTATGCAGCGGTTCGGCTGATAAAACGGTTAGGATATGGAGGAGGGGTGTTGAGAAAAGCTACAGCTGCTTGGCTGTGCTGGAAGGACACAGAGGACCAATCAAGTGCTTGACGGCATCTACAGCTGCTTATGTTAACACTACCAATTCTTCTGTTACTTGTTATCAGCTTTACAGTGGCAGTTTAGACTGTGATATCAAGGTCTGGCAGCTTTTGGTTCCCCTTCTCTAGTCTGTATCAATTTTTAATTATTCTTCTGCCTTGAGCCATCTGTAAAAAAGAGGTTGAGTGAGTGAATAGAGCGAGGTTTTTCTCGGCTTTTAACTCATCAACATTTCGTGTGCTTGGGATTTGAAATTCGTACTCTCCTCATTCCTCAACCTTAATTTGGTGGTTTTAAAGGGTTTAAGGCTGTGTTTGGACTTTGGAGGAGAGAATTTCTTTTTCTTTTCTAAAGCTAACCCGGGGATTTTTGGGGGACGGGGGATAGATTTTAGCTTCCAAAAAATGCCCATTAAAAAAGACACCCCTCCCCCAAACACAGCCTTAAAGAAGGTGGAGGTTTGGGGAAAAGGTGCTCTCTTCTCTTGCCAACAACTTCCGTAACATCTTATACAAATTTTAAGTCATATCCATTCAATTCGTATTTCTTATTGCATATGATTCTTTACCAAAAAGCAGGTGATACAGGCTCTTGGTGAGTTGCGATATTCTGCCAACAAAACACGTTCCAACCATCTATCAACTTGATCTAACACAGCACATACCTTGGTAGAATGTTGGAATATATATTGTTGGCAGGTGATCCAGACCCCTTTTCGGTACATGTGATGTATCTTTGCCCTCCACAGGAGGGGTAGGGATATGCTATCAACACTAACAATTGACCCAACATGCCACTGCATCTGCACATTGAGAAGGGGAGATATTCTCAATGTGAAACTGTAATGAATAGTTGGAACATTATTGGAAGCATTTGTTGGCAACACATCTGAACTCCTCCACAGGGCGGATAGGGATCAGCTGTTTCAAACAAAATGCTCCCGATAATTATGGGACGTGTATCTTTTACGATAGGGCCCATAAATTTATTATTAGAATAAAATGAGTATAAATATAAATATATATAGTACAAATACATACAAAATATAAAGTTATTCATTCTAGAATTTATATTTATAGTCTTTCCAAACTAAGCCTTAAGGTCATCCTCTTTACTATTTTTTTGTTTTTTTTCAATTTATTGAGCCGATGCGTATCAATCACCCAAAATTAAAACGTTGACTACTGTTTTCATTGATTACTTAATTCTTATATGCATGCTAGTTTTGTTATTTTTATAGAAAATATTAAAATAATACTAATAACAAACCATCCAAGCCGAGTAATTAATTTTAGAAATTCCTCTGGATGGTGATAACAATGTAATTAATTTTTGCATTTTATTAACCATAGTATGTAATCAATAGATTAATGGCATTAAAGTCTCATCAAGATTGAGCTCAGATATGCGAACCAATTATCTTGTTCTTTGAAATTGGTTATAAGTTGTTGGGAAGTTGGGTAAAACCGTAAAAGCCATCTATGTATCAAAATATTGTTATTTTCACTGAGTGTTTTGGAGACAAGTTCGGATCTTTCGTAAGTACTTTATTCCCATCTAAGTGAAGTGTTTTGTCCCTAACCATCTCACCCACTTGAACAAATCAAATCTCTAATATTATGGTTTAAAGTCCGTTTGAGAGGGCTGAACAGCCTAAGGTGAAGATTCAATTAAGCTGGTTCAGCCGCTTTGAATGTTTCTTACTTTTCACCTCAAACTAATATTCCATAAAATATGCCACATAAGCATTTCATTTCAAAAAACATTGAGACATTGGGGGAAACAAGAATTTGACATTTCCCCAAATGCTTCATACACATAAATCAAATAATTTATGTTTTTTAGTATTTATTTGATAAAAAATGAAACCAAACAGTGGTTTGATGCTTAATAAACACCAACACTTATGTGGCACTGATGTGACTATATCTTTTAATAAACACCCAAGGAACCAAACATAACCTAAATATTGTAAATTTTTTCATAAAAAATGCCCTTATTAAATGAAATACTTAGATAAATTTGATTTAAAAAATGCAAGTAAACGAACTTATCCTGCTAAGTATTACTTGAAAAATACTTTATCAAATAAGTGTATTAACAAAAAGACCAGTGTGCCAAAGTGTCAAGTAATGAGGGTACCGAATGTAAAACCACCAGGATGACTGTTGAAATACCCTCAATAATCTATAAGTGATAATCGAGGATGTATGTCATATTGTGGTTGGTCACCACATGCTTCCTTTACCTTGGCCTCGTTTGGCACGTTTTTTCGCACGGGCTGTCAGCTTTTTAGAAGTCCGACAGAATGCATTTTGGTCTTTTCCCGTTTGGTTGGGAAAAGATTTAGCTGTCGAAAAGGCATGGGAAGTTGGGTTCGGGCTATTTTTGAGAAGCTCCAAATGAAGCTTTCGGCCTTTTTTCAACCTGTCTTGGCATGAAAAGACGCACCTTAATCAAATAGCCTTCAAGTTGCTAAGATCTTGATGCAAGAAATTCAATTTATGTACAACCCTTCGCCTAATTATTTCACGGTCGCTTCTCTGTTGGATCTAACATTGAATAGGCCAAAAGCCCGAAATGAGCTATCACTCATTCACTCTAACATCACAGCCTGACAAAAAAAACACCAAGGACCCTCATTGTCTAGCTCTAAAGATGATTGTTTTTGCTTTCTTTCGTAAAGTGATGATGCATTGATGTTGATTAAAGCTTACCAAGATGTTTAGAAAAACATATTTTAGTGGCACCCGGCAAACTTAATATCAAGCAGTTGATCAAGATGTTATGTTTCTCATTTCCTGGTCTCCATCCCTGTGCAAATGTCAGACTACAAACAAGTTGTGGATTTAATATATAGCAAACATGTTCTTGAATCTTGATTACTAAGACGGTTCTCACTCATCGCCTCAATCAAGTGGAAGCGATCGCGAATTCGCAATGCGTTAAACCATGTGAACCCTTATGGTGCATTTGGTTGCTATGACTGGGATGGGAATTTCCACTTTTACACGTTTGGTTGTTTTGATGGGATGCGAAAATGTGGTATGCAGTTTCTCAAAAGTTAAGATGTGGGGTCACGCTAATATGGTGCGACCCTAGTGAGAAAGAGAAAACACTAAGGGCTTGTTCGTTTCCTCTTAACTCTTATCTCTTAAGAGGAATCTTTTAACTTTAAGAGAAAATTGGTTGTTTGTTTCTTCTTATCTCTTATATTTTCAAGTGCAACCATACAATTTTTTGTTTTCCAATGATACCCCCAAAAAGACAAACACAAATTCTCATATATAGGGTCAAAATGGATATTTGATAGTTTTCAGAATTCAAAATTCAAAATTCAGAACAACATTCTCTGCATTCAGAGTTCAGAGGAAAAAAAATTCACCAATACCAATATACCTCTTAATGTAATTATTACACTTTCAAATGTCTGACTTCAAAGCAAACGAACAAGCCCTAAGAAAAAAAAATATCGGGCTGTCTCGACTATGACTGGAGTCGTCATCTCACTATCTCAACATCTCGACAACGGTCGGGCTGTCTCGACCAAGGTAAGGCCAGATCTATAACTCCTAAACCCTGGAAATTATTTTCTTCCCCCTTTTGGCTTTGTCACTCTCTTTCCCATCAGTTGTAATACACGGTCATTCGCTAACTAAACGCCATTGTTTCCGACGTTATCAAGCTATGTTTTCTACAGATCTATGTACATGTGCTTATCCACTTTTTTTTTTGTCTGTAGGGTTCAAGTATTTCCATTCAACTGCGGGAAGGTAAGAGCTCCCTCTCTTTTCCAGATATATCGTTATGGATATTTGATCTACTTATTCCCCTGCCCCTTCGGTCTGTAGTGTTATGGGCCTTTGCTCATGCTTTCTTGAATAAGCATCTTCCAGATCGTTTTGTTTCTTAGAAAATAAGCACAGGAAAATGAATTCTGATTATACTATTTCTCAGAAAACAAACACTGGATGCAAATATTGGGAAAAAATATATTCCTTTCTCATTCCATTATTTCTCGACAACCAAACGGACCATTGTCTCGATTCTTTGGATGATCGATGATCAAGCTACGATTTAGTCAGTTTCTTAGTTTATAGCCAATACATCTTTTCTCCATCTTTTATTACAAAGATCTCATTTGGTCGTAGGACAATCAGGACGCATTTGAACACACCGGTATTTGGAATAAAAAATAAAAAGTAAAACAATAAATCAACTGGAGTTTGGTTTAAAACATTGGCATGTTCACATTTCATTGGGAGGTCTCCGACTCCGCAGTGTCCTGCAACGGTGGTCATAGGAAATCTTTCTTCCTTATTACAAACAAAAGAGTTGCTCAACTTAGCACATTTCCCAATTTAATTAAATAGAATTATTGACCAACCAAATAATATTTTGAAGTCCATAATTGCTATTGAGGTGACATAAATTTTCAAATGAAGCCCTTTATTGTTTCCATCTTTTATTTTTTCTAACTTTTGTACTAAAATTAGATTTAGGCACATTGCAATTATATTAAATAACTTATTTATTGATGTTGGATAAATATATTTTATTTCTTCCCTCTGTAATCAGTATGACAATTGAGAACTTTATTAATGAACAGTTTTTTTTTTCTAATATACAATTCGAAGCAAACTTAAGGTTTAATCTACTACGTGGCAAGTTGGCATGTTCCTCCAACCGTGTATTATTTTATTCCCACTCGTATTATATTATCATAAAAGTGATTGTTTATGTTCAAATTTGTGTTGTTTGGTTTGGATATCTTTATGATTTCTATATGAAATGGAGAAAGATTGTGCCCAGCTCACACAATACTGGTTGCCCTATCAAAAGAGTTTATGTTTTAACAAAATGAGTACTGGGTTATGAACTAGAGGTTTTGAGGGGGAGCAATCCCCAGGTCATGAGTCATGACTATAATTAGCCATTCAGCTACACTAATTAATTCCCCACTCCTTCCTTGGATAGGGTCGTAGGGATTTGTTGGGAAGAAACAAAGAAGACAACAGGAAAACAGAAAATCTATGAAGCAGCCAAGACATAGAAAAACTATAGTGACATTTAAAATGGTTAGACAATCATCTCCAACTTTTTTTTGGATCAATACCAACTTTTATTTTCTTTCTTTCTTCCAGTTATTGGAAAGGATGGATGTAGCAAAACTAAAATCTGTAATCACTAAGTCCGGTTCCTACTGCTGGATGTTCCCAAGTGATATTCAAATTACAAGGGGATTGTAGCTGATAATGTTTTCCTTTCCCTCATTGATTGATGAATCTAATAAAAGGGAGAAAAATGCAATAACAAAAAAAAAAAAAAAACATAAAAAGGAGGGGGAGGGGAATTCAGACACTAGACCCCAAAAAACACAACAGCCCCAGTCCCCTGTCCATATTATCAACCTTAGACATCATCCTTGGAAAGGTAATTGACAAAAAGCATCTCCATGGCAAAATCAACTGTATTAGGTAACTCATTAAGAAGCACGAGAAGCACTAAACCTAGTAAAGCCCAGTCCCGCATGATCAGGCAAATTGTTAGTAAATTTAAATAACAATTTGATTGAGAACGTTTTCTAATCTACTCTTGCCCATTTCAAGGTTCCAAGTAAACAATGAAATTGAAACAAATATTAGTCAGGAAAATGGAAATCATTTACAGAGGTACCTTTGTTGGTATACCAGGCTGTTGAGGATACTTCCTTGGAGTAGGATAACATTTTAAGCAAACAATAGCAGTTTGTTGTCCACGTGGACTATGTGATTCCCCTGCATACAGCAGAAGATATATTGGTTGTACTAGAATGAATGAAGCCATGACCTCAAACTAGTAATGGATGTATAAGTCATCCCTTAAAAGTTTGCAGAAAGCTTCTGATAGAATAGTTTAGGGCCTTTAGGCAATATAGGTCACAAATAGTTAATTTGAGCAAACATCATACAAACACACAAAGGACTGACCTGGGACCCTGGTGCAAAAGTTGCTGAATCATGGGATTGTTTAATTGAAAAACCAGTTCCCAGTTACTGCAATGAAAAACACTTTTCAGTTATATTCTTTACTTGGCATATATCAAAGAACGATGATACCATTTTGAAATTAAAATGCATTTTCGCTGCAGAAAATTATACCATTATAACAAAGAAATGATAGGTCAAAACTGGGAATATCAGAAACAGTTAAGACCCTACTGAGCATATTTATAACATGGAAGCCCCCATCAAGTGAACTGCTTCTTCCTGCCCACTTAATTTTCTCCTGGAAAGAAGGTACCAGGTGGCTTTCTGGTTGTGGGGGAGACTTGGGATTGAATCCCACTTTCACCAGGGATTGGGTGGCTTCAAGGTTGGTGGGGAGGGTTACCCCCATCAATGTAGCCCATCTGCCCACTAAAAAGAAAATTTCCTCCTGGAAAAAAGTATAGGACATCCGTCAATAGTAAAGAACTATTAATAAACTCAGTTCATATTTTATGGTAAATCAGAGTAAAACATGATAAAAAATGGCATTTCCATCTTGACACAGTAAAGAGTTCAATTGTGTGAAACCAGGGCATCACAAAAAATAGGCAAGTCTTTTTAGCAGTAAAAAATGAAATTTTATTAATGTTTAGATAAAAGAATGGCATAAAATCATGAGTTGCCAAGAACCCTTGTGGTCAGGCTAGCATGTATCATCCACCCCTGTTTTCCATTTTTTAGCTTACTAGTGAAATGATTCCACTCCCTTCCCCCCTCCCCCCAACATAGTAGACTCCTGATCACTCCTTGTCTTGCCAGAACATTATCAAGCTTATTGGCTGATCTTTGAATCCAATTAAAAGCTACTCTCAGCTCCCCATCCAGTCCTTTTACCTTCCTTATAGGATACCTTTATATCTATGAAGCGTACAATTATGCTTAAGCCATCTCACAATTACCCTAGAATCCCATTCTGCCACCAAATCTTTGTAACATAGAAATTTATCTAAGACCCTCAGTTCTTGCAACACAGCCATCAATTTTGTCTGTTTGAAATCGCCATAGACAGGTTTGGATCCTAGGTACTTTCCCATCATTAATATGAAAGTTCATGATTTTCTTGCAAAACTCTAAACAGACAGCAAACAGTTTGGCTGTGTTTGGTTGAAGAGCAAAAACCAGAAATAAATTTTGCATCTGGTTCAGTTTTGCATGTCTTTGTTTGTAACTATGATTTACATTCCTACCTGATACAAATTCTGTACCTTTTGTTTATAACTATGAGCAAATCAAACACTCACCATGTGATGTGTTCACCTGGTGACAATACTTTCTTGTGACCATTCAATAAAAAACTAATATGCTATTTATCAAGGAAAAACCAAATCACCCAATGAGTGCATGCTTGGGTGATTTGATTTTGATGAGTTCACATGGTCACAACACTTTCTTATGACTCCAAATAAGTCATGAACATGCTAGTAATCAAATTTAAAACCAAACTTCATTGTATGTCTAGGTTATTTGGTGTCAATTAGTCCACATGGTGAGTACATGCTTATTATGCTACCCCAAACGTGCTACTATCAACCAATAAAACACAAACATGCTACTATAAACAAAATGAAAAACAAATTACAAAGCAAAGGCATGTCTGCTATTGCTACACCAAATGATACAAGAACAACCCACTGTCATGTAAAATATTGACTACCTCTAGGATATACTACCTAATTATGATAATCAAATAATATCAAGGTAGCTTAACATGAAAAATAATGCCTAGGCAATAAAGCACTCATGGAGGGTCGCCTCATTTAGTCTCCAAGATATTTTTTACACAGTGCTTTTGGATACTTTTGTATTCTTAACTTTCTAAGGTTGTAATAATAAAACAAACATTATTAAACTAAATTATTTAGTTTGAGTTAAAATACTAGTTTCGTTTTTTCTTTTATTTTTCTTATCTGTTAAGGCTGAATCGGGATGCATACCGTCTTGAACCCTTGAATAATAAGCATGGAAGAACTCAAAATTTTGTCCATCAACACATACTGATTTTCTTTTTTTTCTTCTATTCTTTATATGTTAATTTTCTATGTTTAAATGAAGTTTATACATTTTTTATGAAGATGATATACAATTAATAGTGAAAGATGGTTGCTACTTGCTATGGAACCTAGGCAGTTATCCTAGGACTCATGGTTTTTATTCAAAAAATTCCATCGTCCTAGGTGACGCCTAGGTGCCCAGCTAGGCAACTAGGCGACAAGGTGCCGTCTATTGCCTAGCCTCAGTTCAGCACCTTAAAAAACTGTGTCCATGTCACCAAACGCAATGTATTTGCTAAATTTGGCTCACTAGCAAATCCACAAATGTCAAATTATAAGGACCTCAAGAAAAAGCCACCATGGAGATAGAAAAACAAAATGGCATTGTATAATATATAGTTGTAAATCAAACGAGTCCACATAAATATGAGTAAGCTTCAATCCTTGATACACCTAATTGATTTGTAGTAATGAATCTAATTGATTTGTAGTAATAGGTTTGAAGTATTTCATCTAGATAGATTCCAGTTCTTGTTGTAGCTAAACTCTACAACTTCCCTTTGAAAACAAAGCTATAAGTTTATTAGAAAGCTTACCCTTTGTTGTACATGATAAGCTATCATTTCTTCAAGAAGGCCCCTTTCCAAGATCATGGTAATTGATCTTTTTTCTTTTTACTTCCTAGTAGAAATAAGACAATCATTACATAAAGTAATTCTTAACAATACCTTTCGACATCGCAATAATTCCCACTTCATTTTTTATTTGTTTCTTTCTTCTTTTACAATGGCATAAAATGTGGAAAAGATAAGATAAACTATTTTATTCTCAAAGGATAAGGACTAGTAAAGAGTAAAAGCTAATACTAATCGGAGATGTGATTTAGATCTGCCCAACAACTAACAATCTAGTCTACATAGGCTGTTTTCTACAAAATTGGCTGGTCCAATTACTTGTAAGTCCTAGCATGGGGAGAGAGAAATTTTTGGTCATCTCAATTTATGGATATGTAACATATATTGACCTGCTTCTCGGCTGCAAGGGAGCTGTGATGGATGCAATGCATATATTCTTGTTGGACTAGACATTATGGATTCAATTAAATCTACCCATCCAGGACTTATGTGCAATACCATATCTTCCACTAGTTGAAGGAACAGCTTTGATACTCTTCAAGTTGGGAAGTAACTTTACAAAAAGGAATTTTTCAGCAGAGAGAGAAACTTTCATAAAAGTCACAACAAACTAATAAAATCGATCAAACTGGCAAGTTGTATGAGCATTTACCTTTCTTTCTTTAAATAAGGACATTTAGGTGTCTTTTCTTCTAAGTGGAGTACATGATTCCAAATTAATGATGATCATGAAAAATTAAACATCAACCTGAACATTATTCACAAACTATTCAAATAATCTGCATCTAACCCCTCCAAGTGGTAAAGTTCATGAGCTTAGCAATATATCATCTATTACTTCAATGGTTTATCATTTGTGTGTTCAACCATCAAAGAGTTTGTCACAATTGATAACCCCTTACCCCTCCATCAAAACCATTTCCCAAGGATTCAGAAGGGTAAAATAGGCTTCCCTCTCTTAAGCTAAAACTATAAATTGAGACTTTGCCTTTGGAATTGGTAGGATGAAGTGAGTCTCCACTGCCAGAGACAGGATTCTTACTTGCATAAACCAAGATAACAGATTATAATGCACACGATTCTTAGCGGTGCCAGAAGAGAAGTCCCCGTCCAGCAGTTATAGCTTAGAAGGACAACCCAGGTGTCCTCTTAAGGGTTACTCTGCCACTACATAAAAGATAGTAGTAGTAATAAAAGTAATAGAGAAACAAGACTCGTAATGCCAGTATACCAACAGCATGCTCCAAGAAAAGGCAATGCTTATTCATCGACTGAAAAAGGGCAACTTTCCAACCTTGGAAAAACGCAAAATTTTAGATACCCACATTAGACAATCAAAACTTATACCCTTCAAAGAAAAACAATAGCAATATATAAACCTTCAATAAAATATGCTAAATGAAAATTATACAGGACAGTAAAAAACTCACCTCTAGAAATATCAATTCAATGATCTCTTCTCAATCAAGAATAGCACTGGTGTGATGCTTTGCCAAAGTTACAAATTATAATCATTTAATCAATACTCCATGAGAAAAATAACCTGGGCAGTCAGTAGCAATAATTAATCCGAGGAGGCCAGGGCCGCTGCCAATAGCAACACGCTTGAGGCTATTACATGAAGAGACGAACAAGTGAGCCATCGACATGTCTTTCTATGACATTGCTGCGTCTTCAAAAACGAAATTGGTAGAAATGTGGTCTGGTTCTACCCTAGAACAGCATCAACAAAAGGGAAATTTGTTCTTTCTAGCGGTAGCGGGAATAAAGTGTTTCAAGGTAGGGGATAGTTGAAAACATACGCCAGTTAACACTGTTGAAGTTCCTATCGTCACCAACTATATTTGACGAAAGAACGCAATAAAAGCATAACGAACTTACCGCATGAATAGATTGCCATCTTCGAGAGCACGACGGCTTCCATGAATGCCGTCTGAAACTTTTAAAAGCAGAGCTGCAGAAGGCCAACGATATGGACCATATGGTACCCAGTACCCGCTCCAAGACCTTGTATACATCATGCATCAACGATCTATTATCTTCCGTGTGTTTCCTTGTACTAGGGGTGATATTTTAGTCCGGCCCGAAAATTTTTAACCTTGGACTTAAGTTTCTGAGTCAGCCTGAGCCCAATACCTCAGGCCCATCCTAGCCCGATCCAGCCTCCAATAAATTCATAGGTTAATATATTTTAACAGTATCATATAACGATATAAAGTCAATGTTTAGAAATAGGGGTTAACATTGACCAATATTTTAATCTATAAATCAAATTCGAATCAGATTAAGTAATATCCGAATTCAAATCCGATTAGAAAAGTCGATATTCAAATTCGATTCGATATATGATGGATATTAAAAATTAATATTCGAATTCAAATTTAATTGAATATTTGATTATATTCGAATTCAACTAATTAATAATTTTAGGTAATTAATAAATATATAAAATAAATATTTTATTTATATGAAGTATATAAATATATAAATTATTTATATAATTTAATTATTATATATATAAATTATATAAAACATTTAAATATTTTATATTATATATAAATAATTAAATAATTGGTCGAATTCGGATATTTATCGAATTGAATCAGGTCATATCCGAATTCAAATTCGATTAACTATTTGATATGAATAAAATATCCAAATTCAACTGATTAGATATTTGAATTATCGGAATTCAATTCGATTATATCGAATCTCGAATTCAAAATCAAATTTTCGAATAATGTTGACACCCCTAACTGGGGTAAACAAAGTAGGTGACATACGGAATTATGAATTCTTGCTACATATGTTTGAAACTACCATTCTGTGTGTGGCTACACCTTTAAAAAGGATTAAGCATTCACTGTAGAATTATAGATGCGCTACAAAGACATGTACAAAGGCGTATGTAACCAATCCCTACACGAAGGGTTTGGGCTTTAGGTGTACAAATCACTATAGGATGTTCACTATTCATTAAATGATTAGCCCACACACGCCTTTGTCAATGGGTCAGATTTGGTATGGATTTGCCTTCATGCTAATCTGACCCTCCAATTCCACCCCAATCTAACCCAACTTAATAACGTGTAATTTTTTAACCAGCCCTGACCCCAGTTCAACCCGACTTGGCTTGCTCTCTTTCAATTATATCATTTATATTGCATTTTGAAAACTGAAAAATCATTAATTTAATTTGGAATTCGGTTTATTCACTATAGTGACAAAAAAAAAACAAATATGAAAATAAATTTAAGGCTTTCACGTCATGGGGCATACTAAATTACAAGAATACCCTCTATATAAGTAGGGGTATAATGATCTATTGGGTTGAATGATCAAAATCCTAACCCAATCCTATGGATTCTGGTCAAGTCAGATTTACCATTTATTTAACCCAAGCCATTGACAACCCTATACAACTCTTGACGATGCATAACAGATCCCTACCCATCTCAAAGGACTAACTCTGTTTGATGTTTTTCTCTTGTTAATGGTTATTAGTGAACATGAATTTCACTCTTTTAACATTTAAATTTTTTCATGATAGCAGAAAATGCCCCTTACGCCCATGTTTAAATGAGAAAGAATTAGCTGGCTGAATTTGATAGCTGTGTTTTACTCTCTGTTGGAATTGGAATCAATTGTTTTGCTTCACTCCATCCATAAATGCAAGTGAGAGATTGACTGTTGTGGGCTTGAGAGTTCGAATATGTCCTCACACCAATCTCATAGCACTCTGCATATCGGAAACACCCCCTGTGCTTGTATGTTATCTTTTACGGGGAGACATTCTCAATGCACAGCTGTAATATGATGTGAGGTTGGTGCGAAGAGCGTTCTGTAAGGAGAGTATCGGGATTTGTCATTGAGCCCAGGTCTACTCCTCACACCAATCTCACGGTACTTGCACCCACACATTGGGAATATCTCACACACTTGTACCTTTTATTCATATGGGGGGATGTTCCCAATGCACGGCTGCAATTAAACGTGTTGTAAGGTTGAGCGTTCTATGAGGATCAGATCCCGATTCCATATGGATTGTATGTCTAGTCTGGACCAAAATAATTGGTTCCACACCTGGTAAAACAACTATCAAATTCAATTGATTCCTTCTCGTTTAAATAGAAAAGCTAGAGAATGATCCCCCGTACTAAATTCGGGGTAACTAAATGTGTGTATAATTTAGTTTGAAGTTTATTATTCAGTTATCAAAAATTAAATTAAAAAAAAAACTAATATGGGTCTTGCGCCTTTGTAATTGACAATCCATTCTAACCTATTTTATTTTAAAACCATTATTGATTTATGTTTTTTTTTAAATTGATTTAAGATATTAAATGAGATCTTATTCGTAAACAATAACCCACTTTATTTGATATTTACTATTTATCTAATAAATTTATTTTGAGTTATTTATTTTTAAAAGTTAAATTAGGTAGCTTCCTAAAAGTTAAATCAAGTTTGTAATTAATAAAGTATTTTCTTTTTGAAAAGAAAAATCATTTAAAAACAAACATGGGTTTATGGTAATCTTTTAATGGGTTCCACCATTTGTATTTAATAGACTATGGATAAATATGTGTTTAAGATAATAAATAATTGTTTATTGAGAATGTTTAGAAGTGAAACTACCCACTTGTTAAATCTTATTTCTTGAGTTAAAAGGATGTCACGTGTTTGAATGGTGGTAGTGAGCTATGGGGCTTATGAAGCAATTTCTTAGAAAATGTCACTTGTCTAGCTTTCTAGACAAATGAAAAGGCCACATGTTGAAATGGTGGGGGGTTGTAGCCTATGGGCTTTAGCAGGAATTTCTCATATATTGCCACTTGTCTAGCTTTCCAAAAAATGAGAAGGCCACTTGTTTGAATGGTGATAGTGGATTGCGGGCTTTAACAACAACTTCTCAAAAAATGCAACGTGTCTAGATTTACAAAATAAAGAGTTCTAACATGATAGTTTATTTAGGCTTAGAATTCAGACATAAGCTCTTCAAATTAACATAATAAAGAGCTCTTAATATTCCAACGAGATCATATTAAACTTCAACTTAAATTAGGCCATGTTTGTATGGGATGACAATGCCAAACTGAAACAAATTTAATCTAAGTTCAACTTTGCAGCTATTTTGTAGGTATTGGATCGATTTTGCAATGTAAATGAAGGTAAATTTGTAGTCTGTTATATCTGCATTCAAAACAACGAGTGTGAAATTTAGGCTTAGTTTGGAAGGAGTATAAATACAATTATGTATAGTACAAATAATACAAAATACAAGGGTTTGCACTCTACAAATTTGTATTTATACTCTTTCCAAGCTGAGCCTTACTTCCAAAAAAAGTATAAAATTTGCACCGATGCATGTAAAGTGTGGTTACAATTTTTTTGGTTCGTGTAACTAAAAGCAGCCCTGCATTGTTTTTAATATCTATTCTTTCTTTTTATACATGTCAACCAAACAAACAACATTAAGCTTAGATGGACAAATACATACATCAGTGCAGAAATGTATTCAATGAATTTTGCACTTTGATCTTTTGACCCATTCATTCTTGTTGATGGATAAAATTTAGGCCCCGTTTGGTTCACAGGAATAGGGGTTTGGAATCAGAATTGGAATGGGCTATTCCAATTCTAACTATTTGATTTGGCATTTTTTATTTGAGGGAATGGACATTTTCTGTCTCTCTTGGGAATGAAATCTCATTTTTGCTGATTTTAATTTTCATTTTCATTTCTGTCTGAGCCAAATAGTTCATTCTGATTCCGATTCTGATTGCAAACCAAACAGACTGTTGGGCACTCAAAAAAAAGAAAGGTTTAAGGAACAATAATGGTCTAATTAATCTAATAACCAGCAGCTTATTTAGAAATGCAAAAGCTTATGGTGGCATTCAAGCAAAAAATGCAAGTTCAACAATGAACGCGCATCCAACTCCAGTTTTCTTATACCTCGCCATCCCAGAGCTCCTAATAGTAAATTGATATTTATTAATAATTTAAGAAGCATATATATATATATATATATATTATTTACTGTATTTATTATATTTGATATATATAGCATACGTACTTTTTTATATATGTAATAGTATCGGGCCAGGCTTATTTGAGAAAGCCCAAGCTCGAGCTCATAAGCCTTAAATTTTGTCCAAGCTTGAAAAATAACGGGTCAAGCTGGGCCGAACCATCAGGCTACCTGGCCCATGAATAGGTCTAATTGTATATATAAACAATTGTATACATAAAAAATCCTATGCAATAAAAATTTAAACATCTTTTTCAATTTTTTTTTTTTAATGGACCTCTCATAGCTTGGCCCAGTTTGTGGCATGGCCTGGCCCAAGTTTCGGCCCAGCACAACCCGATTTACACCTCTACTTGGCTTGGTCCGCTGCCGCCGCCGCCTCTACCTCCACCCACCTCCGCCCCAGGTCTACGAATCTCAATGACTACCATCCACCAGCGTCGTCGCCTCTACCCACCTTCGGCAACGTCGCCTCCACCTCTGACAACACCAATTAGACGACATGAGGTCACTGTCGGCATTGTCGGAGGTGGGCAGAGGCATTACCAGAGGTGGCACAAGAGGATGGTGGTCATTGAGGTTTGCAAGGCTGGGCTGGGGCAGAAGTGGTTTGGAAGAGGAAAAAGATGAACAGTGTTTTTGCCCTTATTTGATATATTTTTTAAACAGTTAATCTATTTTAGAAATTATATTAAAAATATTATTTTATAGATATTAGGGCCCAAAAGTTGCCCTTATCAGCTATAATCCCTTAAATCTTTTAGATTTTCCCATGCACCGCACGGGTCCCCACTAGTATATATTAAAATTGGTCTGTCCATGTCAACATGTCTCTCCTTTTAAAGAAGTATTTATCTATTTTCTCCATTTTTTGTATTTTTGTATTTTCTTTGGTTTTAAAATATATAACAGTAATCATTGCTTATCTTGATTAGA